TTTTGCAGTAAAGCCATCTAAGCCTGTTCCTTGTTTGAAGTTTTTGATTACTAACCGAATCTCTTCTTATAGTTGTCTTAACTCATTTTGTATTATAATAAAAGAACACCTGAAACTGGGTGATTTTTGAAGAATGTAGATTTATTTCTTATAGTTCTAAAGACTGGGGAGCCCCATCTGGAGGGTCTTTGTGCTTTGTCATCTTATGGTAGTGGGGAGGGAGAATAAGAGAGCAGAGGGAGGCGAGGAGGATAAAAGGGAGGAGAGAAAGAGGGAAGGGAGAGAAAGGAAAGGGAAGGAGGAAGAGGCCCAAATTCATTTTTTTTTTTTTATAAGGAACTCCGGCACAGTTAATCCACTCCTGCCTGATGGCATTGATCCATTCATGAGGGCTCTATTTAATCACCTCTTAGAGGTCTTCTCAACACTATTGCACTGGGGATTAAGTTCCCAACACATGCACTATGGGGGATACATTCATACCATACTAAACCCTATTCACAGCATTTCTATTCTTATGGAGTCAATTTGGTATTTTGTATCTCCCTCAGAATTTGCCTATATTGTCTTGGCACCCATAGCTCAGTGGTTACAGTGCCAGCCACATACACCGAGGCTGGCGGGTTCAAACCCAGCCTGGGCCTGCTAAACAACAATGACAATTGAAAATAGCCAGGTGTTGTGGCAGGCGCCTGTAGTCCTAGCTACTTGGGCGGCTGAGGCAAGAGAATTGTTTAAGCACAATGGTTTGAAGTTGCTTTGAGCTGTGACACCATGACACTCTACCAAGGATGACATAGTGAGACTCTGTCTAAAAAAAAAAAAAAAGAATTTGGCCATTTCATAAAGTTATCTAATTTGCTGAGCTTCAGTTATTCACAGTATTTCTTTATAATGGTTTTTATTTCTGTAAGGTTGGTAGAACAATCTCCTTTTTATTTTTATTCTATTTCTTTTTTTCTTTTGGTCAATTTAGCTAAAGGTTTGTTATTTTTGTTAATCTTTTCAAAGAACAAGATTTTGAGGCTGGGTGTGGTGGGTCATACTTAATAATCCTGGCATTCTGAGAGGCTGAGGCAGGTGGATTGCTTGAGCTCAGTAGTTCGAGACCAGCCTGAACAAGAGCAAGTTCCCTGTTTCTTCTAGAAAAAAACTATCCAGGCATTGTGATGGGCACCTGTAGTCCCAGATACTCAGGAGGCTAAGACAGGAGGATTACTTGAGCCCAAGAGTTTGAAGTTGCTGTGAGCTAAAAAAAGGAAGAAAAGAAAAAAACAAAACAAAACAGATTTTGGTTTCATTGACTTTTCTCTGCTGCTTTTCTATTCTGATTCATTTCTTTCTGCTTTCTTGAGACTTCCTTTTTAATTTTTTTGTTAATTCCTAAATATGTAATTTTTTTGAGAGGTACTTATTAAGTTTATTACTAGTGTTGAGAAATTCTATTAATTTTGTTGATTATATAGGTGGAAATTAATTTTGTGGATTATATAGGTGGAAAACTTTCATTCTTAAAGTTTGATTTTGTTAGTTTTCCTACATAATCACTCCATCTTCAAAATTTTATCTTACCACTTCCTGTCCCTGTTTTGATACCTCTTACTGTATCTAGGCTGTTGAACTATGTTAAAACTAATGTGTTGGCTGGGTGCAGTGGCTCATGCCTTTAATCCTAGCACTCTGGGAAATAGACATGGGTGGATTGACTGAGCTCAGGAGTTTGAGACCAGCCTGAGCAAGAATGAGACTGCTCATCAACTATACAAAATCTCCCTAAAAAGAAAAGCCCGGGACCAGATGGCTTCACATCAGAATTCTACAAAACCTTTAAAGAGGAAATAGTACCTATATTACTCAACTTTTTCCAAAATATAGAAAAAGAAGGAATACTACCCAACACATTCTATGAAGGAAACATCACCTTGATCCCCAAACCAGGAAAAGACCCAGCAAGAAAAGAAAATTATAGACCAATATCACTCATGAATATTGATGCAAAAATATTCAAACAAGACCCTAACAAACAGAATCCAGCAACACATTAAACAAATTATACACCATGACCAACTGGGTTTTATCCCAGGGTCTCAAGGCGGGTTCAATATATGTAAATCTATAAATATAATTCGTCACATAAACAAATTAAAAAACAAAGATCATATGATTCTCTCAATTGATGCAGAAAAAGCTTTTGGTAATATCCAGCATCTATTCATGATCAGAACACTTAAGACAATTGGTATAGAAGGGACATTTCTTAAACTGATAGAGGCAATCTACAGCAAATCCACAGCCAATATTGAATGGAGTTGGATGTATTGAATGGAGTTAAATTGAAATCATTTCTACTCAGGTCAGAAACCAGGCAAGGTTGCCCATTGTCTCCACTGCTTTTCAACATTGTAATGGAAGTCTTAGCCATCGCAATTAGGCAAGAAAAGGCTTTCAAGGGTGTCCAGATAGGGTTAGAAGAGATCAAATTTTAACTCTTTGCAGATGATATGATTGTATATCTGGAAAACACCACAAATTCTACTACAAAACTCTTAGAAGTGATCAAGGAATATAGCAGCATCTCAGGTTACAATCTCATAAATCGGAAGCCTTTATATATACCAACAATAGTCATGCTGAAAAAACAAGCAAGGACTCTATTCCATTCACAGTACTGCCAAAGAAGATGAAATATTTGGGAGTTTACCTAACAAAGGACATGAAAGATCTCTATAAAGAGAACTATGAAACTCTTAAGTAAAGAAATAGCTGAAGATGTTAACAAATGGAAAAACATACCATGCTCATGGCTGGGAAGAATCAATATTGTTAAAATGTCCATACTACCCAAAGCAATATACAATTTTAATGCAATCCCTATTAAAGCTCCACTGTCATACTTTAAAGATCTTGAAAAAATAATACTTTGTTTTATACGGAATCAGAAAAAACCTCGAATATCCAAGACATTACTCAGAAATAAAAACAAAGCAGGAGGAATCACACTACCAGACCTCAGACTATACTATAATTGATAGTGATCAAAATAGCATGGTACTGGCACAAAAACAGAGAGGTAGATATTTGGAACAGAATAAAGAACCAAGAGATGAACCCAGCTACTTACTATTATTTGATCTTTGACAAGCCAATTAAAAACATTCAGTAGGGAAAAGTTTCCCTATTTAACAAATGGTGCTGGGTGAAGTGGCTGGCAACCTGTAGAAGACTGAAACTGGACCCACACCTTTCACCATTAACTAAGATAGACTCTCACTGGATTAAAGATTTAAACTTA